AGTTGATAAAGCATTTTCGGGGTGACTTTTTTAGTTTCATCAGCCTACCAAAAGTTGGATGTTTCAAGCACACGTAGCATTTCAGGGTCGCCGAATAAAATAATCCTCTCGTGATCATTTTGTCCACTGTCAAATCTTATAAAAATTTTGAAAAGTTCGGGTATTTCGAAACTTCTGGTTGCTGGGGAGACTGGTAAGACTTCTTCTCGTTGCTTGCGCGCTCGTTGTGCGGTGCGAACTAAATTTTCTTTGAATGGTAGGGCTAGTTGAGTGGCAAAGTTGTCTGTAATTGGCTGAATGGCGGTTGCGACTGCGACGGTTGGGGTGTTACTATCGCTTAGCTCCTTGATGTTTTTGAAAACTAGTCGAGCATCAGGTTTGCCCGTGGAAATATCGTGGTTATGTTGACCCCTCGTTTCAATAAAATATTCTCCATCCGTAATTGCTGTTGCGCGGCATTTATGGGTTTGGTACTTTGAGCAGTTCCAATTTGTTGTTGTCTTGTTTTTTCGTTTAAGGTAATACTCATGGCCTGATACCACTAGCATTTGTTTGTCTTTCGAAGATGAAGTAAAATGGAATGACGCTTCAAACATTATATCTGAATCTGATCTGATAGAGTGGTATAACAATGGTTAAAGAAATAGGCAGTATGATTTTTTATAAAACTCACAAACGTCTTTTGTTGCCTTCAATTAGCACCATGTAGGTTATCTCTGTTTTAAACGCGTGAGTGAGGGATTATTTCTCTAACTAATTGAAATGCAATTACTTTTGAGATGCTAGAGGCATCAATTGAATTAAGACTAGCTTTTCAGGCCTTAATTAGTACGCTTAATTGGACTACTCCTGTACTTATAAAAAGAACTTAACGGTCCGAAAAATCAACAGTAGTATAAACAAAATATTCAGTTTGTCGTTCTCGCCACCTGGAGAAATCACTATGATGCTAGCAACTCATGAAGGAGAAGTTTAAGAAGAAATCAATCAAACACAAAAATTGAGTAACATTTTGTCTACTTTAGAATGTTTGGAATTATGACATTTTTTTTCGATTGAATTATTGACATTAGAACTAATAACGTTTGCAAAGGTTGGAACTTCTACGGCTAGAATAAAACCGTAGGTACTTTCGGACCAAGACTTTTGAAAGTTTTAAAAAATGTTTCATTTATGGAATTATAGTCTCGTCAATATATACAATGTGTGAGCAGAGGAGAAAACCCGCTTTTGAAAAGATTAAAGTTTCGAGGCCTGGATTTAGAACCTTTGAGTCTTAGGAGCTCATGCATCAGCGGAACTTATAATCAGATCTCATATTTTGGGACGGAATAGCCTTTATTTGTCGAAACCATTGATAAAAAATCTATTTATTGGGAACTTTTTTATAATAGGCTCGTTACCTACGTTGTTTTTGGTTAAAATGATTTCATAAAAACTCTGCTATTTTGAGCCTTTTCACTCCAACTAATCATTAAGTTTTCTGATTGGTCAAAATTAAGTCTTTTAAATTATGGTCTGCTAATTTCCTTAGCACCAATTAAATATTCTTTTTCTAGATTTAGGGGGTTGCTTCTCGAAGTTTGTACTGTCCCTTCTAACGACCCCGCCAATGTTCCCACGGGTATTGAACTCGACGGGGCGACTAAGATTCATTACTATCTGCAATTCCAAAATGGCTAAGTTGGTGGCAACTATTCTGTAATGTTTTTTTTTTGTAATTGCCCGCTTTTGTACTGGTCTTGAAGCTGTCTTGTCCGCTCTCATCATCGCATTAACTCCCAATTTTTAGTGAAGTTCAGGTAAATATAATTCCTAATACAGAACGCTTTAAAAGGCCGGATTATTTTAGAAATCTATCAGAAAGAAAGGGTCCGCGATCAATTGACACAAATGCCTAATTGCAATTCAACTCCCAACTAACTTAGGTAACGATTCTCTCTCTAGAGAATCCCATTTAACGAATTACACAGGGTACTTTTTACACATGTAGTTAATTCGAACTGCTACAATGAATCGTGTCACCACGGATCACGACTCCTTTGAGGTACTTGAACTGCGTTCTCTGACTTGATAAATCACTGTTCTCCAACTCTGAGAACCGACTCTACTGTTTACCGGTTAATTCGCCTTTTCACTGAATGAGAACCCATCTACTTTACTCAAAAGAACTAACCCTTCTGCCTATGGATAGGCTGCAATCAACCTTTTAGCCATGTTTGTCTATTTGAAATTTGTTTATAGTAACAGTTAAGATCGTCCTTATCAATCCTGACATTAACCTTAGTGCACTTTTCGCTGACGCTCATATTTCTGAATTCCAAATTCACCATAGGTATCTCTAACTAAGTTGGGCGAAAATCAAGTCCAGTTTCCAAGTCTCGAAACCAAGTTATTTTTGATTAACAGTTCACTCAAGGTTTTTATTTAATTATTCCATTGACATTACGACCCCATTTGATTATCCCCCTGTCGAATCCTTTTTGTGGGTAGTGAATTCAAAACAAGCGTTCAAAATTCCAATCTATACTCCACTCTAATCCCGACCTTCTAGCTATCGGTGAGCGTAGTTTGCTTATAAGGGCTCGGGTTGCGTCAAAATCCACCTCTGTCCAGCTAAGTAAATATCCCGTCAATTCAAGTTATTTGGGAGACCTACTTTCCATGGTATGCTCCTACTCCCGCCAGTTCTTCTCAGTCTTCTTGGACTACTTTTTTGTCTGATTGATAATCTAAAAATAGCGCATTCGCCAGCTAAGCTGATCCCAATGTTTGTCAAGTCCACTTTAATTGGTTTCACTACTTCAATGCTACAAGGTAAAAGCTATATCCTTCTCAACTTCTGCATCAGTTCCCATTAGATAACTTCCCTCCAAGGGTTGGGATGGAGAAGGTGCCGTTTTCCGGTGTTAGTCCCAGTTTTTCTAAGCAAATTTTGTCCCAAGCGCCCAAAGGTCATTTAAAAATCATCCCGCGATCACCCGGGGCCAATCTTCCATTTTTTGGTTTAGACACCAAAGGGCGTCCTACCTACCAAATTTCATCCATATCCCATCAGTACATCCCAAGATAATTCATTTTTAAGGTCCATTATCGTTCTTACCTGGAAAACGTTATTAACACCAGGAGGGATCGCCAGAGGGATTTCATTTACTAGGGTTGTTTTCGCGGTTTGCCGCTTTGTGTCTTGTGTCTTTTGCCGCTATAAAATAAAAACGCCCTCGCTCATTAATTTGCGTAAATTGCCTGTTCAGGTCTAAGGGTTTTTTTCCCAAATGCTAGCAATTTCCGGTTTAATCCAAGGATTTGATTCAAGTTATGACACGCGACGTATTTTACTATTATCTAGCATACCCTGAAGTTTTGGCTTCCTGAGTTCAGTGGGGGCCATGAAACGACTTCCGAAATTCCGGGATTTGTATTATTTACTTAGAGTAATCGTCAGCGCTGAGTATCAGGAAGCTCTTATCTCCTGGTCTTCTAAGATTGCTTGTATTTCTTAAAAGAATCAAAAGGTTGGTTGGTTTGAAAATTTTTGAAATCCGTTCACTGCATTAGCGCGGAACGTGAAAATTTTTATATCTTTATTTAATACGTGGACAACGGGTGGTTATTCCGAGATCTCATGAACTATTACGTTTGCCGCAGACCGCCGGACTTTTACACCTGCTTAATTGGTGCTATCTAGGAGCCTGTGAGGGTGGATGATCTTACTTCACCTATGAAAAGATTTCAAAGTCGGTTGTTGAAGTAAAAACATGAATTTTGTCTAAATTTTGAATGTCCTGATTCGCTTATCTTATGCTACTAATCACTCGACCTGGCCGTTAAACGATCGCAGCGTATTATAACCCCAATAACTTCTATAACCCCAAGGTAATGCTTTCTAAGACGATTCGGCAACTTACCCAAATTCACAGTAGAATCGCCAAATCTACACTTTTGTCACTGAATTTAAATGTAACAACTTCTGAACTATAGTGCGTCATTGTTTTCTAATAGGTTCTAATTTGAGCAAAGATAAAATTCGTATTTATTAACATTTTTTGAGGTCGTAAATTTCTAATTACTATTCGCACTTACTACCACTCGCTTTCGTTAAATAATTAGAAACTGACATGGCGTTTCTGCCTCTAGTAACCGTGCTCTTTCCCTAGAGGCCCCGTAACAGCAATTGATTTGATTGGGGGCTAAATGGTCAGACGACCCTTAAGTGAGCCCTTGCTGAAAAAGCCGGTGAATCAGTTCAAGCAAGTTTTTCAGGCATTATCGAGGTGGTTTAAAATCTAATATTTTCTGAACTGAAAAAATGAAATAAGCATATTGCAAGGAAGCTACCAGTTGCATAAAATATTTCACCAGCCAAATCACAATTCTTCAAAACAAACATAATCAGACCTTCTTGGATTTTTTTCGGGTTGCTCTTGCTCTTGCAGTACCAGTTTCTACAAGAAAAAAAAATAATGGTAAAAAAACTGGTTTAGCATGAGCAAGATTTTGAATCCAGAAAAACAGGTATCAAACCCTTTTGCGCATTCTGTTTCAAAAAATTAGACCCCCTGTAAGTTATGATGATTTCCGGGGTTGAAGTTCCATTGCAATTCAGAAATGTATCATTGTTATTGCATTGTTTTGACATATTTCATGGATGCACCAGTACAAATACATACATAAACTATGTTTTTTCTATGTTCATTGTTTTTCTATTACTTATTACGAAAACATTGATGTGAAACCGATGAAAAATCGATGTGACATCTAAGTTATGATAGTTTTGCTACATTGATACTACATCGATGTAAAATCTATGTCACATCCATGTTTGTGCTATTTTTCAATTCTTACAAAATTTCGATTTGTTTCTTGAGTTTTGTCACGTGTCGTTACAAACGATAAAAAACAATTTAAATGGCCTTATTATGTATCATCCTATTGAAGATTGGCTCAATCATATACTGATTACCTAAGCCCAGGTTTTATTTGGTTTTAATTAAACGAACCTGCCAATCGTGTGAGTTCGGCAGCCTTGTCGTCATCCTTGTTTTGACTCTCGATTGATTCATTTGAATACGGCAACAAAAACAGAGCCATCATTGTCGCAAAACACACTGCAGCCGAGCCGGTGGTGAAAAAAGGCGCAGAAAACCCTCCTAAGTTGTATAAAAACTGACCTAGAGGAGGCCCAGCAATAGAGCCTATTTCAGAAAAGGCCTGGTTGAATGTAGACAACAGACCCCGCTGTTGCGGGTAAAGAGCGAATAGTATGGGAGCGATAGTGCAAGCTAAGGCCGTCGAAGTCACACCCATAATGAACTGCGAAAGGGCTGCAACAGTAATGAAGAGCGCTTTCGAATCTAGAAACACGCTCGAACCGAATATGAAGATGGCCAATGCGTAGCCGAAATAATTGACTCGCAGAATGAGTGTCATAGTCTTTAAGTGGACAAAATATGATATCATAAATCCGCAAATGACTCCCAAAGCATCCTGGATTCCGGCAATAAGACCAATGGCAGACTCAGACAGGCCTTTGCAGGCACAAGTGTGATAACTGGGTCCCTTTGAAGAAAACTATTTTATTTGAAGTCCAATATCGAAGCCCAGAAAATACACAAAAATGTTATAAGGTTTTTTGTTTCAGTATCACTTATTCGAGTTGAGCTGCCCTTCCCTTTTTAGGAATACTTTTGTAGATGTTTTTTACACAACTATTATCAAAAAAGTAATGAACTTTTCTCGAATTTAAATAAAACAAAATAAAGAATCACCTCACCATGTATTACAAAAAAAAATTTCAAAAATACTTACAAATTTATGCAAATTGTTGTTCCATTCAATTTTTGAAGGAGTTTAATAAAAATCTGTTAAAGAACTGCAGAGATTTTAAAAAGGTACAAGTAATTCTGCAGTAAGCTAAAACAAGACTGCTCGTTTTCATGAGCAGTAATAACAAAAAAAATTAAATATAATAAAATAAAATGAAAATTTTTTTTCTAAAATTTGAAAATGTTTATGAAAATCATCCCCCCACACGCCATATAAAGTGCAAAAAGATAGATTTCGATCCTATTATTATACCAATCATGGCATATAAGCTTTCTTGAACCAATTTGGTACGATTTCTAAGGCGGATTAAATCTCCGCTTACGCGTTAATAGCGCGAAATATATAGCGCGTTAATTGTTCCAAATTGGCCAAAATGGCAATCTTTAAAACCCCATAACTTTACGAAAAAAGATCACAGGTGAAATATCTTTTCAAATTTAAGCTCAGGACAACAATAGCTTTTGAATGATATTAAAAAATTCCGTCAAAAATGGCTAGTTAAAAAGTCGAAATTTGTCTGCAAATATTCCGTTACTTTCGTATCGAAAGACGGAACAACAATGCTCAGCATATGAATACTTAATTCTTAGTTTAGGGACCTAAGAACCATACTTGCGCCTACCTTTTTCACTGGCTTCGGTTGGGAAAAACATGCCCATTTCTGCAACTGTCATTGCTATAATTCCCACAAATGAAAGTGTCAGCACAACTGACAATATTTTCGTAAAATGATTTCGCTGCAAAGCCATTTTTTTCTCCCAGAAGCAGCAGAAAATTGTCAGTGTAAAAAGATTTAAAATGTTGAGATTCTGGTTAGAAATTACTAAAAAACTGAAAAATGAAAATAATTGATGGCTGATAGCAAAAAGTAGTACGCACTTTTGAGATGAATTATTTTCAGTGCAGTGTATAAAATCAGTACACTCTTATATTGAACTGAAACAAAGAGTGTATTGCTCAAAATGTTCTGAACAGAAGAGAACCTCTAAAGATACAATTTGGACTGAAAAATTAGCATGACCATTGAATTGTTAGAAAATGAAGTCTGCTTTCGACTTTAAATGTGTAGGTATTATTTGAAGTCAACTACGTAATAACGATAAGAATATCTTGATTGGCGACAACCTCAAACCTCAGCTTGTTTTCGTCGAAGCAAAAGATTAATTTTAAGTACTGCTTTATAAGTATTGCGTTGGTTTAAGATCCAAAAGGTTTCTTTTATGTAAGATAACCTGATTCACATTGTCATAGCTAATTTAGAGGGAGTGGGCTTTTACTTCTCAGTTGAAATAACCCTTTTGTTAATAATTCATGCTAACTTGGTTATTGGTTTTTGCCGGAGAGAGAGGGGAAATAAAGATATATCAAAAATTTGGTTGAAAAGTTTCAAACTAATAAACCACCAGGAAGCCAAAAAGCAAACAAGACTGCTCGTATTAGGGCGAAGTCCTGAGTGTTCCGACTGCCTTTTAAGGTTTATGGAGCAGTAATAAACTTAAAAAAATTGAAATGAAATTTAAAAATTTTTTTTCTAAAATTTAAATTTTTTGTGTGAAAATCATCCCCTCACACGCCATATTAAGTACAAAACAATAGAATTTCCTCCTTGTAACAAATCAGTTGTGGCAAATAAGCTTGTTTCAACCAATTTGGAAGGATTTCTAAGACGGATTGAATCCCCATATTTTTACGATCACTGGTTTCAAATTTAAGCTCAGGACAACAATACCTTTTGAATGACATAGAAAAAAAAATCCGTCAAAAGTGGCTAGTTAGAAAGTCGAAAATTGTCTGAAGAAAAAAAAACCCACCCCGAGCACAAACATTCGGTTACTTTCGTATCGAAAGTCGGAACAAAAAAGAAAATATGAATACTTTTTGGCGCGCGCTCATAGCTCAAAGTTTTCGAGGGTTTTTTCACTCAGATTAATTTTTGAACTTTTGAATTTTATTATTTTTATGGAATTTTTGAACGATTGTTTTTAATTTTAACTGAATGAAAAAAGTCTGAAAGAGTTTTTTGAATGTGTGCGTTTGTATTTATAAAATTTAGTTGAGCAAAAATGCAACAACATGGCAAAAAAAAACAAATATATGTTGCTAAGTTCGCACATTTGCCCATAGGTTGCAAACATTTTTCCATTTTGTTCTAACTTTTTATGAAAAGGTTTAATGAAAAGTGTGATCAGTGTGGTTCTTTTCAGACTTTTTTAGCTGAGAAGATTTTGTGATATCCTATACGGTATCTAGTTGGAAAACTAGTGATAATTCAAGAATGTACTTTTTGTAGCTTGAATTAATAGTTTTCTCTGTCTATTTTTATGGTCACTGAGAGTAATACATCAGATTTAAACACTGAGCTCTCAGCTGTGTACCAATGTCTCTGAACGCGTGACCTTGGACACATAATAATAATAATAATAATAATAATAATAATAATAATAATAATAATAATCATAATCATAATAATAATCATAATAATAATCATAATAATCATAATAATAATCATAATAATCATAATAACAATCATAATTGATAGCACTGAAGGTTATTATAACATCATGTAATTACCGTTTTTGCAGTAGCAGTATGACATACCCCCTCGAGTGGAAAATAGATTTTTCTATGTTTGAAATAATTTATACTATAAAGAGTTTTATACACTCAGTTCAAAAAAAGTTCCCGAATTTGGAAAATTTTTAATTGCAGAATTTCAATTTCCTTAGTTTTTTTTCCAGGTAGATTCTCCAGCAAGGGTTCCAATCTACTCCTTTGTCCAGCGTTGCGTAGCCGAATTTTTCCTGAATAAGTGTCTTTCTAGGAGGCGTAATTTGGACTTTATAGGCCTGTCGCTTCGTTCTTGGAAGTTTGTTCCCCCTGACAACTCCTCCGATACTTCCGGGTTGAAATGTTTGACCGGGTTCCCAAACTGTTTTGGCTCTTACTCTTAGTCTGTCTTGAGCTTCGTCAGACCCCCGATTCTTCGGCGCTAGAATCGTCTGAAACCCCTTGAGGAGATTCAAATCTTGTATCCCGTTCGGATGCTGACTGGACATGTCCTCTGAGGTCGTCCGCGATCTTTTGAACCCCCCTCTTGAGAAGTTGGTCCGCAAAACTCTCCCACTCCGCTGGTGCCAGGTTTTAGTTTTGAAATGTGTCGAGGATGTCCTCAAGTCGTGTTTCTGAGTCTATCTTCTTCAGCTTGGCCTTTTGTTTGTTTTTTGGAGTGGAGCTCAATTGAACGTCTTTATTCGAGGTATCCAAAGTCGAGGTTGATTGTTCGTTGCTCTGGTCGACTGCGGTAGCAGTTTGTTTGGGCGATTTTTTCGGTTTGCTGTCTGGTTTCTTGCCTTTCGTCTTTTTCTCCGATATCTTTAATGCAACCTCTTCTTGCGTTTTAGGTCCAGGAATCGAATTAGGGCCCGCTGTGTTTGGCTTCGCACGTTTAATGGCAAGATTTAGACCCCCTCCAGCTTCCGTGTCCTTTGAGGTTATGACTTTTTGGCTTTGTTGGAACCGATCCACCGGATTCACAAAATCTGCTAGTTCCACGGCCCGTCGCAGTTCTTCATCCAAATTAATGTCCTCTAATTTTTCTGGGGAACTGATTCTTTGTAGCTTCTTGTGTGGTTCCGCCGATGGACTTTTGCTTTCGCTCCGCGTTTTCTCCTGTTGAAGGCTAATTTTTGCTTGATCGATATCCGATTTTCTGTAAATTGACCCTGTTGGCGTTTTGACTGTCAAACCTGTTTCTGTCACTATTTTCCCCTTTAGCGGTTTTGTGAGCGCTTGGCCTCTTTTTCGTAATTTGTCCTTACGTAAAATTGTCTTTTTCGGAGCCTGCGTATTTTCCTGTTCCGTATCTTCTATGAATCCCTTCTCCCAGGAGTGGATCATCTGTTTTCGGAGTTCCGGATTAGATAGGCCTGTTTTGTCGACAATTTTTCGTATGTCGTTTTTCGCTGCATCTCTCCTTTCCTCGTTCCAGTGAGTGTTCGCTTCCAGTAGCTCTTTGATATCGGTTTCTCTCTGCCGATCCCTGTCTGAGTGTACTTGCTGCTTATGCAGTGGGCTGGTGTCCCTGCTGAGATCCCCTTCCTGACTATCTTGAGATTCTCCCGCTTTAGCTGTGATGCCGTTAGCGCCGATCGTTCCAGATGCTGTTTGTCTAAATAGTCAGAATTGTTTATAAACTTATCACAAACTTATGGAAGTCTGCCAAAATGTGCCTTAAAACGAAATACTTGAATAGTTTTCTGCTTGTTCCAACGTAAGTCTCGCATTAAGGTATTTAGACATAGTTTGATCGATCGGTTAGTTTCTTCTAACAGCATTACTCCCAATCTTGGTTTCATGCTCTGTATTGTTCGTTCTACTAGACCGCAGCCCCGATGACCACCCACCGGACATAATTCTGTTTCGATATTAAGTTCAGTGCAAAACTTTTTGAGTGTTTTCCCTTTAAATCCTGAAATTTGGTTACATCGCATCGATTCCGGAATGCCATGCGTGTCTATGTATGATCTCAAAAATTTTACCGTACACTTTCCACTTGTTGATTTAGTGACCTTTACCGAAGGAAATTTCGAGAATATATCTATAGCTGCTAGAAAGTAGATCTTTTTTCCTCTGTGGTTTTCTAACGGTCCCGCGTAATCTAATTGTACTTCTTGGCTCGGTTGCGTGAGCAGTGGCAGTGGTTTTGACGCATTTTTTGGAATGAGATATTTTACGTTCATAACATATCTGGTGCAACTGCGACACTCTTCCGCGAGGTTCACTATGCCCCTGTGCATATGCGGCGAACACATGTAATGTGAAACTCCTAGCATGGCCTCTTGACCCGGATGTCCACGATGAACACGTTTTAGCACAGCTTGTCTCAGTTGAAGAGGTACTACCAGCCTGTTGTTCACCAGAATGCAATCGTCCTGCACCGCCATCTGTGACCACAATAGATTCTTATTGGGTCCCATCAGCTCGAATCCTTGTTTGACTCCTCTCTCTATGACTCGTCTGAGGCGGTCCATCCACGTGTCCTCTGAAGTCAACTCTGCCAGGATACTTTTATCAAACAATTTGGAGAGATTGTCCAGTGACTCCTCCGTTTGCTGTTTCTGCAGCTTTTGTTCCTTTTGTTTATTGGACCTTTTGTGTGGTTCAATGGCGCACACTTCTTTGTCGCTCTCCATGTCTTCTGTATTTGTCAGATCCACCTCGATTACTTGAACATCGCTCAATTTTCGTTCATTTGGATGAGCCGGTGTGATGGTGATTGGTACTTGATCAGTCTCTTCCGGTACTTTCTCGGTCTCTTCCGATGTTGCCACTAGTTTCCGATTGATGTTTCGTGTGGTGTTTGATTCTCCCCCGATCAATTGCCAGAACAAAAATGCCTGCTGTCCGCCTATTTTTGTTAGTCCGGTTGCAATTGCCATTTGACTCTTGATTGAATCCTTGTTTCGCTACCCGAGCCGCTCTGTTTCTCGGGCCTCCGCGAAGTTTTTTTTTTGTGCGTTGCAGTGTTTCCGTAACCTCCTCCTCTTCGGACAATTCGTTCGACTGTGAGCGATTCCACTTCGAGTCCAGAATTCTCTTCTCTCTGTCATCATTTCTCCATTCCTGTGGTGCATCCGACCAGCAGTCATATGAGCGATTGAAGTTTTCTGATATCTCCTTTTTTGAGTCTGTTTTTTTTTCTGAATTTTGTTGACTGATTGTTGAATTGTTTTTGCAGTTTCTTGACACGACTGTTTGCTGGGTCGAAATGAAGAAAAAGTGATCTGCTTTCTTTGTGAGCTGCTGTTTAGCTGTTTGGACGCTCGCAAAAGTTTTTTTTTTCCGTTCCGGCCGAACATTGTTAGTTTTTGACCGTTTTGGTTGTCATAGCAACCACTAAGCGATGACTGTTTTGCAACGTTCCTTCTAGAACATTCTAGAACGTTTTCGTTCCGGTTGAGCGACCCAGTGCTTTCTAGTCTACTGCTCATGCAGTATAACGCTTCGTGAAAAGAGTTTATTGTTGCCACTACAAACCTTTCGTCTAATTCCGATTCGGGCCAAGGATCATTATAAGGATCACCCGATAAATAATCGAC